GGGTTAGGTTTGGGTCTAGGGTAGAGTCATTGCGGGTCATCGCGTGACACGAAGGAATTGAATGCCATCCGTTGCATTGAAGCATTAATCGACAACCAGCAGCGCGTCAAATGCATTGTCGATCCTGGTTCGCAGATCATCGCTATGTTGCAAGAGATATGCCACGCACTCGGACTAGCCTATGACCCGTTGATTAAGTTAAACATGCAATCAGCGAATGGGACCATGGACCAGTCCCTCAGGTTGATTCATAATCTTCCCATGCAGGTCGGGAATCTAACATTGTATCTCCAAGCTCACGTCATTCGCAACGCAGCTTACAATATTCTCCTCGGACGACCCTTCGACGTCCTCACGCAGAGTGTCGTGAAAAACTTCAGCAACAAAGATCAAACAATCACCCTCGTCTGCCCGAATTCGGGCGAAACTATGACCGTACCGACGAAGCCCCGAGGCAAGCCCAAATTCATGGGCGAACAAGAGGGTTTTCGCGCTTCGAGGACTTGATGAACGATCAAGGCAAAGTGGCGGTGGTAATCAAGTACGACGACACCGGGGATCCTCATATAACTTTGTACGCCCCGATACCCTTGAGTCAGAACGAACAGACTATTCCCGCTCTCTATCTCTCTGCATGTGATAATGTTTTTCCTTACTTACAGTCTCTGTACACTAAAGACACCTCGAATACCTCGAGCGCATCCACTGATGCCGCGACTTGGGCTTTGAGCTTTCTAGCAGCTGCCAATTTCCCGATTCCCGAGTCTTGGCCAGTAGTTCCTCATAGTATCTCTGTTTCCTCACAAGCACCTAGTGCGACCTCGAAATTGTCATTTTCTCCTTCTGTTTTGCCTTACAATATTTCTTTGATTTCTTCTCCAAACCTCGTAAATGCCCCGATAAAATCCCAGAACTCCTACAATACCGTTTCATTTGATTTGGACTTACAAGAATTGACGCCCGTAGATGATGACAGCAATGATGAAGACGAAGAACCGATATACGAATCATTCGCAGGCACAAAGAAGAAGTATAAACCAGTCACCTTGAAGACTCGGCCAGTCCTCGGGGCCGTTGACGAACAGTTTTGTATTTGTCGCAACATCAAGGGCGATCCCCTCGGAACCATGCCGACACTCTCGAAGCACCCGCCACCGTTCGTGCCTACCGGCTGATACACCGAGGAGCGGAAACAAATGTCCGACAAATTGCATGGTGGGGACTTTCTTCTACCAGCCGAACGCAAGCTCGTCCATCACTTTATGTTGCTACACAACGACACCTTCGTGTGGACCGACGACGAGAGAGGCTGTTTCAAACCGGCTTACTTCCCTCCAGTCGAGATTCCAGTGGTTCTGCACACGCCTTGGGTCCAACAAAACATCCCGATTCCACCAGGATTGTACAACGAGGTCTGCACACAGGTGAAACGAAAGCTCGACGCAGGGGTATACGAACCCTCGAACTCATCGTATCGATCGAGATGGTTTTGCGTGGTTAAAAAGGACGGTAAAGCACTTCACATTGTTCACAGTCTCGAACCCCTTAACGCAGTAACAATTCAACATTCAGGAGTTCCTCCAACACCCGAACATCTTGCTGAACAGTTCGGCGGCTGACCCTGCGGGGGAATGCTTGACCTATTTGTAGACTACGACAAACGCCTTATAGCGGAGAAATCGAGAGACCTCACCACATTTCAGTCGCTGTATGGTGCGCTTTGACTACGCACGTTGCCGATGGGCTGGATGAACTCGGTTCCAATCTTCTACGAGGACGTTACTTACATCCTGCAGCCCGAGATTCCCAAGATTACTATCCCGTACATTGACGACGTTCCGATCAAGGGCCCCGAAACGGATTACAGAGGCAAACAACTCCTTGAGAACAATGGGATTCATCGATTCATATGAGAGCACTTCGAGAACCTCAATCAAGTGGTTACTCGGATGCGCTACGCTGGCGGCACCTTCTCAGGACCAAAA